CTTGATACACCCACCTACCCTCACATGTATTCACGTGAGACATGTACATGCTATCATGCAAATGATCATGTACCAACCATCCACCAATAGGAGTGTGACACCTGAATTAGGGAGGTAGGGTGCAAAATGAGAGAGGAAATAAGTAGGACGATGTTAACTTCCGATAAGATATCTTACCTCTACTCACAAGCAGCTAGAATCCCACACTGAGTTATCAGGATCTGTTAGAAGATGATCCCCCTTTAGAAAGTGCTTAAAGAAAGACCCCATTTTAATGGAAGGCAACACCCCATGGGAGCCTGCATCAATTCTGAGCCAGGGATACTCTTTGCCCATGTGAAAATGTGTTGCAATAAGGGTGAAAACACAGGAGGGACCCCACACATTAATGTGTGCACATCCAACACCAAATGCACCAGGAACCAACATCTGGGGGATGGTAGGAAGATAAGACAGCAAAGTGGGGGTGCATCTCCAGTCCATCACTAGATGGCATTGGGTATGTATCATTCAGTCCATGGTAGGAGGAGGGTACCCAGCCACACACATATGAGGACTTATGTGGTTGGTTCAGCTCCAACCATCACCATATCCACTGAGAAGCAATATGCAGGGGATAGTAGGAAAGAGGGTGCCTCAGCCAGAGGGTCAAACTGCATGCTGGTAGAATGCATCAAACCTCATCTGACAGCATATGTAATTGTACATCAGGTTCAAAGTAGGTTGAGCATCAACACCATCTACACCGGCTACTACTGCCCTACTCTCAGCTGAGTAAGATTGAGCATACTCAGGAGGAAGCTTCCATGGTCCACCACCCCAGCAGCTGGTAACTGGTAAGTGGCAAGGATTGTCGCACTCCACTAGAAGAAGGGGTAAAGAGTGCATTGGAGAGACCAGAGGAACACTGCACCACAGACAGTGCAATGGGTGACCACAACACCTTATTTTGAAAAGCAGACCAATTCAGTGACCTACAAGATACAGATCATCGGGGATGGGCAGCAATCCCCGTCTGCTTTGCTCACGTTAGTCCATGAGTGTATGGTCCGGAGCAAACATCTTTATGAGGCAAAATACTATAAGAAATACCTACATGTGGTCTTGTGGAACACCCCATCTCAATGATGGACATATTTGACGCAGAGGTATTACAGTGCAGATTTAAGAATAAGTATACCTGGTCAGGCAACACTCACCACAAAGTGGGATCCAAAGATGCAAAAAATGGCTCCTGCAGAGAAAAAGTAGAAAAAACAGAAGCACTTACTCACTCATAGAGAAATCACAATGCACAAAATGGCGATAGAAAGAAGAGGAAACTCATAGAATAGGAAACGGATGGTGAAGATAACGATCAGTGAAGGTATGGGGAGTGGTACATATACTGACATGAATGATGTCTTCCAATGGATGATGGAAATGAGCAACCTGAGACATGGTAAGGTGATGGATTTGATGTGAAGAAAGACAGAAAAGACAACAAACAAAAGACAAAGAAGCTGGCAAATCCAACCCATACATGGAATAGGAGAAAGGTCACGATACTGAAAGGGATTCCAAGAAATACATAAGTAGAAACAGGATCCACGGAAGGAAGCAGTGCATGCCATGTAACAGAAGATAACAATTACCAAACAGAGATGGTGAGCAGGGTCAAAATAGTCATAAAGATGTGATATGAAAGGAAGGTAGATGGGTTGACAAAGGCTTGAATGGACGAAAGGTAAGGAGGACAACACTGAGAATCCAATCAAGAAGAGGGGCAGAGCAAGGGTGATGGATTGAGGCAGTGTGAATGAAACAAAAGAGAAAGAACAGGTGACTGGAAGACATAGTCATATCGTGTAACATGAAATGTGGCTGAAAAGAACATGACACAAAGAGGTCTGGATGATGAAAAGTGTATGAGAAAGCAGATAAATGGGAGGGTAGTCATACAGGTAGAGGCCCATACAAGCCTGACTGAGAGCATCTACTATGCCAGTCAGTGGATATGGAACAGGAGACCAAAACCAAAGGAGCTTGAAATGCAGGTGAGACAAAGGCAACCAGATATGGAACACCTCACTGGGAAAAGAGCTACCAAGCAGAAGGTCCAGTGACCACTCAGTATGGAGATCCTTTAAGGATGAGATAATCAATCTAGAACTAGATTCAGGGCACCCCAAATAAGATAAGCCATCAAATGAATAGGATAGCCTTGGGCTTAAGACAGGAGGTCTGGTGTGTCTGTGGACGAGACAAAAGTCAAATTGTTCGAATGCACCATCAATGACCAGCCCTGAATGACTGGAAGGAACTGAACCAAAGCTCAATGAATGGCAACAAGCTCCAAGAGATTGACATGGAAAGAGGACTCTGATAGAATCCACTCCCCTGAGACTACCTGAGCATCCAGGGAGGCACCCCAATCAGAAAGAGAAGCATCCAGAAAGAGGTGATATTCCATACAAGGACGAGGAACACCCATAGAGGTGTTATCTTGTTCCAAACACCAGGTGAAGTTGGTCTGTACGAAAGGACGAAGAAAGGGACATCCATGGGATCCCAAAACTATGTCCCACTGGTCCAACAAAACCCACTGAAGGCAACAATGTGGACACAATCAAGAGGAGCCAACATTTTCAAAAGAGAGAGAATCTCTCATGCAGATGGAGAAGAAGAAGAGGAGGAGAGACTGCGAAATAGAAGCTCCATAGCCCTCAACCAAAGGGGAGAAGGTTGGGCTCAAATGAGTAGTGAATTGAACATCCCAATATGAACTAGGTGTTGCATGGGAGTGAAAAAAGACTTTTCCACCTTCACCAACCAACCAAAGTGCAGAGTCGACCTGTGAGGAAGCTAGAAGTAGCCAGCCTTCCATGTAATGGTGAAAACAAAGGCCCTGAGAATGAAGAACTATCGGTAAGATAGTGGTAAGCGAAAATTTGTGCATATAGAGGGCAGTATAAGTCGAGAAAAGCTATTTGTGTGATGAGGTAAGATACTGTATTGGAACTTTGCATAAATAAATAAATAAAGCTTAAATAAAAGAAGAAACAAGTAGCTTTGGGTTCCTTTGGGAAAGCACATTAAAACTTACATGGAGGTAGTTTTATAATGTTGAATTAAAAAAAAATGATACATTTGCCATTAATATTACAGGAGTAACAATAATATAACACATACAGATAAGAAATATTTTTAAGAAAGGAATGAACATTGAATGTTGATTGTATTACAAAGCAAATGCCAGCCTTTGTATCTGTTAATTGTAAATTGTAGTCAAAAAATTAGTAAAGCTTCTGTGTATTTTCATTTACAGAAAGATTTTGTCTTGACAAGTATTCTGATTGTGTAGAGAAGATTCATTTTGGTTAAAAGAAGACTGTTTGTCATTGATGTATTGAGCTGGTTGAAGTCTGGAGATGGCACTGAAATGTTCAGCAACAATATTGTGTAGTTGTCTGCCTGTATTATGTTTACTCTTATAACAATACTAATGGTTTTGTAACAGTTATTTCTAACATTGCTTGGATAATGTTGTGGTTAAAGCTATATAAAACAGAACATTTAATTCATTATCAAACCTATCTTATCATATAAATTTGTTCTGTAAGAGCCCAGGTGAAGCTGTAATAATGAAGCATTGTTTTGACTAAATAAATTCTTCCTGGAGTACTATGACCCTTTTTATATATATATTATATAGTTATGAATGTGTAAAATATTCCAATTAGCACTAAAAAGCATATTTTGTTATGAAATTTATACTGGTGAAACAGGCAGACAACTACACACTCATGCTGTTGAATATTTCAATGACATCTACAATCTTCATCCAACTCAACATATCACTGGCAAACACAATATTCTCTCAAATAAAAGTAAAAATTCACCTGCAAGTTACACAACATATTAAATAATAATAATAATGGCTGGAGACAGCTTGAATGGGTAATGAAGAAAAACTTTAATATAAGTTTAACATGACAGCAAATGTACAACGTTTCGACAAGGTTTTGTCATCATCAGGTAATAATAATGCAACTTTTACA